CTCCTATAACAGCCCCCAAATTCCACATGTGGGTTTTTTTTTTTTTTTCCCCTATGCGACTGGACAAATTGAAACTGACTGCAAAGGGTCTGGAGTCCTATTTTCTCTATTCACACATCTCATTCTTCCAGTTCCCTATCACCTCTCATTTATTATTCACTCAATAAATATTTTTGTAATACCTACTATGGTCCAGGTACATCCTGATGTTGTCAAGATACAGAGCTAGAGATGATGATGAGCAAAACACATCTCCTTTCCCCTCTTGGAGTTTACCATCTAGTGTGCCCAGACAGTATAATCACAACTGCCAAGGAGAATAAAAAAGGCCAGGAGAGCACAGGAAGGCCTATCTGCCCTGGGGCTCGGGAAACAGGCCCAAATAAGGCAATAATGATTGAGCTGAAAACAAAAGTTCTCTGGGACAGGAAGGAAGGTGGATGCTCTTGGCACAGAAAGGCCAGAATGGAAAGCTGGAGGTAGGACTGGGAGACTTCAGCGAGAGAATACTTCAGATATATGCACGAGCAGTTCAGAGAGCTGCTTCTTTTGGTCTCTTCTAGATTTGGGTCCTCAAGTTACAAAAAATGGGCAACAGTTAATGGGTTTGAAAGAGAGATGTGACAAGATTTAAGGGGTGTTTCTGAAAAACTACTTTGGCTAGAGGGTGGGGAAGAGGTTGGGAGACAGCCAGAAGAGTGAAGGTGTGTGGGGGGGGCGCAGTTCAAAGTCTGTGGCTGTAGTCCCCACAAGGAAGTAGTGGTGATTTGAATCAGGGTGGTGGTGGAAGAGAGAATTGGGAGAGTTTCTCGAACTATTTAGGCCCCTGCCTGAGGGCTGGATTGGAGAGGGAGGCACACTCCCACCTGGTGTAAGCGACTGGATTTGGGGGCCATTAACCAAGAGGCGGAGCATAAGAGGAAGACCAGGGGTTTTGGGGGCGGGGCCGTGCGCGTGTGTGTAAGTTGGTAGGGGAGAGGGAGGTGTGCATGGTGACAGAAGGAATGAGCAGAAGGTAATCACCTTGTAGCACCTACACTTCCAACCTTTTCTTTTTAAATTTTTTATTTCTTTTCAGCGTAACAGTATTCATTGTTTTTGCACCACACCCAGTGCTCCATGCAATCCGTGCCCTCTCTAATACCCACCATACACATCCAATCTTTTCAACCAAAGCATCGATTCAAATTTTTGACCGGGCCCACAGTAAGACATACATTTTACATAGCCTCTGGTACACAGGCTAGATAGAAATTCACAAAACAGTGCTTCTCTGTTTTGTGTGTAATGCAGGGGTATCTCCCATATTAGTCCTTAAAACAAGAACAAAACCAGCCAGCATGGGCTGGGAGGCAGTGATGACTGCCATGATGGCAGCCATGACGGCAGCGGCTACCATTATGGCGTCGTCTGCCATGTCCTTTTGTGACGTTGGGTCCTGGTGCAGCTATTAGGACGTTGCGACCGGTGCCCAGAACAGACCAAGCTGCCGTTTCAGCCTGGAGGGCGGGCAGGCGGCTGCGGCGGCCCAACCCTCCCGTGGCGGCCCTTGGCTCCCCAGGCAGGCATGGCGGCCTCCACCGCCTCACACCGGCCGATCAAGGGGATACTGAAGAACAAAAGCTCCACTGGTTCCTCAGTGGCTGCCTCTGCCCAGCAGTCGGGAGGGACAATACAGGAGGTCCAGAGAAAAAAGTCCCAGAAATGGGATGAATCCAACATCCTGGCAACACACCGGCCTGCTTATAGAGACTATGACTTCATGAAGATCAACGAGCCCAACAGCCCCTACTTCAGCCCGCAAGACGATGGAGAAGATCCAGTGAATGATTCTGAAGCAAAGGAAGCCATGACCCCAGACAACTTAGCCAAGAAATTCGCCGCCAGTGGTACCTCGGAATTGAACTGCCAGTTGGGAGAGCCGGAGAGTGACGGAGCACACAGCAGCAAGATCCTTCTCGACAAGCAAGAAAAGCAGCGGCAGTTCGAAATGAAAAGGAAACTACACTACAACGAAGGCCTGAACCTCAAGCTGGCTAGACAACTCATCTCCAAAGACCTCCAACATGAGAAAGACAAGGATGACAATGAAGAAACTCTACATAGTGACAACAACGAAGACAACACTACTGCGGAAGAACCCAGTGAAGTTCCTACGAAAGACGAACTGCAATCCCAGGCATTCTGCACCTAGATAACGTTTGCTCTGCCCTGCTGTCGCTTGCTTTGCCCCATACGAACTGCTAAGAACTGCTACCGAACTGCTCCGAACTGCTCCGAGCTCTCCGAACTGCTCCGAACTGCTCCGAACTGCTCCGAACTGCTCCGAA